GGGCTGGGGCTAAGTGGCATGGGAGATGCAAGGTGTTATGGGACTGGTGGTTTCCTGAGACGCATCCTGCATGGGACATAATAGCCAGGGAGATCCCCCCCACAGACCCATAACGCCTTGCATCTCCCATGGAATTTAGTCCCCACTGAGTCATCACCATGTCTGGGGGAAAAAACAAGCCATTTATATCTCAGCTGAAAGAAACTACAAGACTCCCTTAAAGGGGTGGTTTTTCTTCTTTTGGCTAAAACCTTCAGAAGTCTGGCTGGGCAATTTCTCTGAAGTTCTGTGGACATGAGCCCATGATTTCCAGAAATCCCAAGCCTACCGCCCTCCGGTGTCTCTGGGAAATGATCTTCTTTTTGATGTGTCTAGATAGGGAGAGTAATTTTAGGAGAAGAAACCTGAGTTTTTTTGTCCATGCAGTGGCTTCAGAAATCTAACCACTCCTGTGGCCGAACTCCTGGCTCAGACAGAAGTGTTTGCACGTGACTCGTTCTCTCCCTTCTGGCTTGGCAGCCCCGACTCTGTGACATTGGAATGACCATCCCAAGTAGAGAGATTTGATTGAATGTGTTAGATTGAATCAAGTTACAACGTTTGTATTTTGCTTTTTAATGGCGCTGTTGAAATCACGGCTTTAAAAAAGTTATGTATGAAAGGCATCCATTGATGCGCCCTTCTGTTCGATGCAGAAGTAACCGTTGTGTTAAATAACATGCGTTCAACTAATGTGTTATTTCCAAGCTTTGCCCTGTGTCATCACTATGGCCCTGTTCTCTGACATCAGAGAAAAGCAAAGTGTGCTGCTTGTATACCATTCTATTGGGTGGCTCATAGTTTAATTATGAAGGTTACACATTGCCCCACTCCATTTCCAGTGCGCTGGGAACTCAGTTTACTGACCTCAGAGGGAGGGAAGGAATGCTGCGTCGACCTTGAGCTGACTACCTGAGCCCGTTGGGATCAAACTGAGGTTGTGAGCAGAGTCTTGACTACAGTACTGCAATTTAACCATTGTGCCACGAGGCTCACCATGGCCTTGCCCTCTGCTTTTAGGTTTAGATCCTGAAATTTCAGGGGATGAGATGTTGCAGGAAGCAGTAAACCTAATTGTGTGAGATGGAAGGAGCTAGAGGCTGAGAGGATGCAGAGGGTAAACCGAACAGTGTGAGATGCAAGGAGTGAGAGGATGCAGAGGGTAAACCTAACAGTGTGAGATGCAAGGAGCTAGAGGCTGAGGGGATGCAGTCGGGGCTGCCAAGCCAGAAGGGAGAGAACGAGTCACATGCAAACACTTCTGTCTGAGCCAGGAGTGTGAGATGCAAGGAGTTAAGAGGATGCAGAGGGTCAGAGGTTGAGTAACTGGGTGATTGAGAGTGGGGTTTAGAAAGTGGCCAATTTTGTGACTTCTTTGCCTCTAGAGGCAGAGAAGGTAGACGAGGTTGGAGGGATGGCTAAGGTGCCTGCTTTGCCCCACCTTCCGCGATCTCTGCTGCAGGTGCCTGGGAACAGAAGGGGCCGGTTGATGAAGGCCACCCAGTCTCCTCTCTCTCTCTCCCTCCCTGCAGGTATTGCCCGAAGTCCCCACCCGTCTTCCGCGCTGCACTTCCCCACCACCTCGATCCTGCCCCAGACAGCGTCCACCTACTTCCCGCACACAGCCATACGGTACCCGCCTCACCTGAACCCCCAGGATCCCCTGAAGGACCTCGTCTCGTTGGCCTGCGACCCGTCCAGTCAACAGCCAGGACCGGTAAGGCATCGCCAGGGTGGCGTCTGTCCAGTGCCCCTGCCTCCCTATGGGGGTCGGGGATGCCGGGCTGCTTGGGGTGTGCTGCTTGGAATGCACAGGGGCAAAGAGAACCGACAAGTCAAACTAAAGTCTTTCCACTTTTCTTGAACCTCATGAGGACTACAGCCTTAATTTATTTTCTGTTTTGGATTTAAGAAGTTTCCCGACTGTAAAATAGCGGTGGCGGGAACATTCGGTTTTGCTTTCTCCCTTTTTTTTAAACCCTTGATTCTTTCCCTCTTGAACGTCAGGGGGAAAATCTTGGCACCTTCCTCAGAAATGAACTGAAACAAGAGCCTCACCCGTTTGCGTTGGCCTTACTCTGTAAGCACAGCTGTTCACAATATGGAGAAGATCGCGCTCTATCGGTTGGACAGACTTGGGTTAAAGTCGAACCAGTGTGTGAGGAGGGAAAAGGCAACCCTAACTCATCTTTGGCAGAGACGAACACACAGGCACTTGAAAGAGTTAAGCATTCCAAACACATTATTACCATTATTATTATTTGCACTCTCCAGCTTTTTCCAGGCCTAAGATTTGCGAATTTCTGAAAATTCGTTGTAAAAAAACAGACAAATGGGTTTAGATTCTCTCCCTTATTGTTGCCATCAACCCCACCTTGTCCCTGCAGTGGGGCATAGGTGACGTGGGAGAAACAGAGCTGGGAAGCGATGGTTGTGGATGATGGGAGTTGTAGTGCTAGTCCCTCCCTTTTCCCCAAGCTATGGAAGACAGGTTAAGAAATCTTGCCAAGCTGATGCTGTTCACATAGCAATGAGAGTTTCCGGGGTTTCTGTGAAAAGAAAGGCTCCAATCTTGGCATGGGAGTGGTTTAATTTTTTGGCTTTCACCCTTTTCCACCTGCAAGCAAAAGAATTGCCACATGTTCTGTCCTTTCTCAGGGAATCCGGTGTGGTGAAAGACGCCATTTTGAGCTGGCGTCGTAACAATTCGGCACAGATTCGTGATTTGCTTCTGTGTTCTTGTTTTTTTTAAAAACACCATGCGCCATTTGAGAAATCCCACAGGATTTCGCATGAGTTTTTTGGGGGGAATTAACCAACACCCCCCCCAAAAAAAACCTTGCGTGAGGAGAGATCACTGAGATTAGAAAAGGGGTGTGTGTATCTTCCTCCCCCCCCCTTTTTGGTTCCTTGCCCTGTGTGAGACGTTCTGAGATTCGTAACCCCAAACCACGCTGATATCATCTCCGCCCCAAATGAAATTTCCCCCAACTTGGCGTCTGAGGTTGTGGGACAACAAATGATGGGGTCTCTTAGCGGGAGGCTCGGGGTCCGCGTGTGGAGAGAGCAGCGGTCCAATCCTGCTCGAGTGGCAACCTCACTAATGTGGAGGAAATAGTCCGTGGGTGATAGATCAAGGCAGGAGGAGATGCAGAGGCCTCTTTGATCCATGCCGTTTTCCTCTGGACTCTTAATCGATCGCCTTCCTGTATGGCTGTAGCTTTCCCCTTTCCCCAGATGCACAGAGATGCGCGCACTCCTGTTTGATGTCCATCGGGTAGCTTTCTTAGCAGGCGGTACCATCAAAGAGTCCACTCGCACGCCGGCTACCTGCAGGGCAGCTGACACGAAGGGGGTGGGTGGTATCCTCTTGCTCCCCTCCCCGCATCAATACAGGCCCCCTGGGTGGTTTGGCCAGCTGGCCTCGGTTTTTGGGCTCACCCTCCTTCCTTTGCACCCGTTTTCTTGCGCATTTCCGAGGCTCCCCATGGACTTGGAAGCGGGAGAAGAGCCGGTGAAAAAGTTGGGAAGTTTTCCGGTGTTTTTGCATAAAATCTTTGCATGTTTTTAAAAGTCCTGAAATATGAAAAAAAAAGTGCACAAGAAGTCTTATCATAATCTCCTCCAGCAGGGGAAAAACATTGTATATTTTCCACTCATGTAACCAAGCAGTACGCGAGGTGTGACATCCCACACAACCGCCTGCCCTGTGTAGGTAGCCTAAATATTTTACTCCGCGGTTGACTCTGTGTTTTATGTAACCCATGAGATCTAACACTGAAAGGACTCTGCCCATCTCTGGGGTGCCACGAAACGATTATCTGTTATATACACATTATTGATCTGAATGAAGCACTCCCTGGCTTGTTCCCATCTTTCTTCCTAATCACCCGGCCCTTCTGTGTTTTCTTCTTGGTGTGCTCCGTTTGGTTTGATCCTTGAAGCTGGCAGCATTTTACCAAGCCCTCGACGGGGCCCAGAAACCACCCTTTCCTTCCCTCTCAGCAGAAAGGGTGGCTTTGTGTGTGTGTGTGTGTGTTGGAAAGGAAAATTTAAAATTAAAATTTATCAGGGTGTTGCACCGGGTGAAAGCCACCGAGAGCCACACGAAGAAGAAATCCAGTGAACGTTCTTTGCTTAAAAACAGCATCTCCTTCAAAGAGAGTCTGTGTCAGGCCAGCCTTCCCGGATCGCTTTAAATGTTCGTCTGTCTCCGAATTGCAACTGATGTTTTATAGCATCCTGCAAACGTTTTCCATATCACTTAGATAAACCTTGGAGTTCGGGCAAACTTGTGTATTTGGTATACGCTGCTGTTCCTCTCTGAGATCTGGGAAGCTTGCCATCTTTTCGCCAAGATTTTCTGCAAACTCCGGCTTGAATTCCGCGTGCGAACAGACCCTTCGCTTGAACGCACTGAGAACAGAGATCACAAATGCCAAAAAGAAAAGGTGGAGATTTCTTGTGTATCTCTGCCACGTTAGCCCAGATTCCTTTGAAGGATTTTTTTCCCCTAGGGATGTGGCTGTCTTGGTTCCTTCCACCTCTGTTTAGCCCTGTTCTCCAAACACAAAAACAGAATATTAATGCAGATATAATTATCATCATCAGAAAGAAAAAAAATACAGCTGATATTCGTTTGGGACAGGGCCGGTTTCTATTCTTCCACTCTGGCACTGCCATGTGAATGGCAGTTGAGGACTTTAACGCAGTGGAGTCTGCTGTTCACAGAAGGGGTAGTTATATCATCATCATTATCATTATCATCATCATCTTAGAACGGCAGAGCTGGAAGGGACCCTGTGGATTCTGGAGTCCATTGCCTTTTCCAGGTGGCCCAGTGGGGGATTCGAACCCCCAACCTTTGGCTCCACAGCCAGAGACCTCAACCCCCGAGCTCTCTGTCATCATTATCATTGTCTTAGAACGGCAGAGCTGGAAGGGACCCCTAAGGATCATCAAGTCCAGCCCCTGTCAATGAGGCCCAGTGGGGGGGGGGAATTTGAACTCCCAACCTCTGGACTCCTCAGTCAGAGACCAAATTATTTAATTTTCATCTTCTATATTTGTGTTTTTAAAATCTTTTGCCCCTCACTTACCTTTATCTTACACAACTGCATCCCGCCCTTAGTTGAACAACGTGCCTCGGAAGTGTGAATCGAGGATTAAGGGGGGGAAAAAACAGAACTAAATTGCAGAGTTAAAAGTTACCTTTAGCATCACATGTGGCATTTTCCGTGTCCTTCAAGTTAAAGGCTGTTTTAAGGCCTTTTTAAACACCCTTTGGGCATCATTTTTAAATGCTTTTGGTCTCCCTCCTCTCGGTCTTAAAGTGGGGACAAGGGAAAATAATAACCGTAGCTTAAAAACGCAGCAAATTACTTTTCCAGCATCGCTACAAGAAATGACAACACTAAATAAATATATGCAAAAAGGGTAACTTTTGGGGCCCTCCATTAAACCACTTGCCCGCAGAAAACGTGCTTGGGGGTGGGATGGTGGAAAGAATTGAATGGAGGGAGTAATGAAAGGCTCTAGCCACGGCTACGAGCCGTGGCTGTCGGATGGAACCTCCATGTCCAGTGGCAGGTGAGCTGGCCACAGTTCCGGTGGTCCCGGGCAAAGCCTGCCCCTTCCCCTTTTTTGAGGGGGGGAGGTTCCCCCAGGGCGGGGCAGGCGGCTCCTGTGGGCGGTGCTAACGGCTTCCTCTGTCTCTTGTTTTATTATGTCCTTTAGTTAAATGGAGGTGGTCAAGTGAAGGTACCTGGGCACTACCTTTCCACCCAGATGTTGGCGCCGCCACCCCCGGGCATGCCCCGCCTGGCCATCTCTCCCGACACCAAATCTACCACGACCGCGTCCGAGGGAGGGAGCACTTCACCGACGTCTCCCAGTAAGCATGCCCACCCACCCGTCTCACACCCACCCACCCCGGCCTCTTTTTCCCCCCTCCTA